CTAAAATGGCAAGCATGTTTGGTGTGACGGGGATTCGAACCCGCGACCCTGAAATTGCGAGCCCATTAATGGCGTGCGATTCGAACATTCAGAGCTGACATATGGCAACAACATATTGGAGTTCCCACTGTATTATACAGCCCCCATCTCCCCCAAAAGTACCTTTTCACTTGCAACTGCATATTAATTCTCTAAACTAAATGATCAACTACACAAACACATATTGATAATCACGAGGGCCGAGCCAAGTGAGATGTGAATTACATAACGTGTTGATGTCTGTAACTGGCCGACTGTTCGAAAACATATATTCTTATAGCATGATATGTGATGGTAAATCTCCATCCCAACACTGAATAAACAAAGCGAATATCGGCTTAAAGACAGTACACACCTATCTTCATTCAGAAACACTTTTATTTGCTAATAAGAGAGTCTTTTATTCCATTTATATTACACACTTATCTTCATTCAGAAACACTTATTTGTTAATAAGAGACACTTTTATCCGATTTACATTACACACTTATCTTCACTCAGTAACCGAAACACTTTTATTTGTTAATAAGACACCCTTTTATCCTGTTTACATACTAACCCAGCATGACCTCTTTCATTTTTTTTTACGTGTGCCCATGATGAAAAATTAATCATGGTAGCAAAATGTCCAGGATCGTCGGGGCACAGATTCCAAACCTTCTGGAAATTTGAAGAACCGCGGGGGGGGTCGGACGATTCTGCAGCTCTGCACATAACTCAATTCTCGTACAAACATGCTAGTTATATGACACGTGGAAAGCGTAAGCAACCCGTGTATTACACAAAAACTTTCAGAAATTCCATGGCTACTAAATGTGAAAATGTAGTTGTGCATTTTTTTTCGTTCGTATATGCTGCTTACTATTTTAGGTCAATCTACTATTCAAACGTTACTTTAACTGTCACGATGATTAATTGTTTGTCAAATATTAGGCCACCCCAAAGATTACCACCGGAAAGAAACTGTCAACTTCCATGTTACCCGTCTAATCCAGTTTGTTAGGCAAGTTATAAATGTTAATACATATACTGTTGAATATAAAATATTGAAACATTGTAATACCAAATTTCACCCTGACAAATCAAATTCGCGTGTATTTAAAATGTCATAAAAGTTTGTTTGTTTTGAATTTCGCACAAAGCTACACGAGGGCTATCTGCGCCAACCGTCCCTAATTTAGCAGTGTAAGACTAGAGGGAAGGCAGCTAGTCACCACCACCCACCGCCAACTCTTTTACCAACGAATAGTGGGATTGACCGTCACATTATAACGCCCCCACGGCTGAAAGGGCAAACATGTTTGGTGGGACGGGGATTCGAACTCGCGACCCGCAGATTGGAGTCGAGCTCTCTAACCACCTGGCCATGCCGGGCCCGTCATAAAAGTACACATTTCTTAAAAAAATTAGATAATATACAATCGTACACTTCAACATGGCTCATGGTGTTAGCTTATAGCTGTTAGATTGGTGCTATTTAAGTGACGAGAATACCACAAAGAGTACAGAAATCTGACAAATCAGCACAATGATTGGAGTTCTATATTATCATGCATGCAGTAATATACTTACCTATAATGTTTTGCAATTTTAATTAATGGCTTAGTATTCAGGGTCATTGATAGAAAAACTGGTTTGCCATCGAAAACATTACATACATCATTACGTCACAACTTACTCAATCCCTGTTGTGTAATAAGTAAAGCTTCCTCCTTTCTAAACATTAAACAATTAGGTATCCAACTAAGCAACATAGGTATTGTTTAATTAAAAATCTTCCCTTGCAAGACTTTGATATACATGATGACGTGTTTGTTGCTAGTTAAATATCTATTTAGTAATAAGTAAAAACAAAGCTGCATATAATACAAAGGAGGTGAATTATTATCTCTACAGCAATGAAACGAATTTTGCATGCCCCCTGGCTATGACGTCGTTCTCTTATTATCAGAGATCGTTAGGTCAGATGGATAATAAGGTTGAAATGACATTCTATTATTTGATTTGCTGCAATATCACTAGAGTTGTACATTTGCTTACTAAGTGACACGCATAAGCTTAACCCAATGAAAATTTCGCTTGTCATGAGCATATATGTGTAAGTGTGAAGATCATATCCAGTGTATTTTATAGAAAAACGTTTGCAAATGGCCTTATACTTTTATATCACGATCGAAGAATTCTGATGTGTGAAAATGACGGAAAAGGGTTTTTGGACGATTTATCTTATCTACAGAAACAAAATAAAACCCCTCGAGATTCCAGCTGTTGTACAAGTTTATATGAAACGTATCAACTATCGTACGATAACAAAATCTCCAGCTGCATCAGCTCAGCGTGATCAGTAAACTTGATTGTCAACAAGTCGTGCTTCCAATGCTTTTAGGGAACAAACCATGATTCCTGTTTGTAGCCACACAGAGATCTTTTGTAAGAACGTGATATACACTTGGTGTGAATTACGTTCATTAATGTTTCATGTTACTTATTATACATACAGTTATGAAACCTTGACTATTATAGATCTGATCTGATTTAAGCAGTCCTCTGAAACATTTCTTGTCGTGCGTATATAGTTGTCATTATAGCTAAATATCTTTAATTGGCAAATTACTACTACGTATAACTCTATGAGCACCAAAACGTGGGAATGTTTGTTCTATTTTGTATTGACGTTCATTGTACTTCATTTATAACACCAGCTGGTTCCATTGCGCGATGTTAACTACTATGTGTATATTTTGATCGAGAGTTAACATTAAAATTTCTATATCAGGGTGGGAAGAATACGTGCAACTTTGTAATTAACAATAAACAAACAACTTATCTAAAACAAAATTACTAATTCCATTGCCCTAGTCCACGTTGCACTGTATGACAGAGTAGGATGTTACTTACCGACCACCATTAGTGTAAAATCAAATCCTCGTTTAACTGCTTTTCTATACACCTGATTTGGTAAGTTGGCGAACCCAACGTAACCCTGCATGTCTTTCGATGAGGGAGACGATTCTTTTTCTTTGTCCTTCTCCTTGATTCCGTCTCTTTCTCTATTTAAGATCGTTTCTTTGTTGGTCATACCGGAAGTACTGGTTGTATTGGTCGTAGATAAACTGGATGACGTACTGGAAGTAATAGATGTTGGTCCATCTTGTCGAAAAAACAGATCTCGCTTAGAAGAGAGCTGAAATTCAAAACAAACAATTACTGTATGGGGATTCTATTATTCCATACATCTAAATCCTTTGTGTATGCATAATACTTAAATATTCATGAAACGTTCGTCATATAATTTACGGCTGTTATTTTGAACTCACAACTACGAAGCACAACATTGTGCAATAAAACATCATAAATAACAATTCGATAGATGTTGTTTTTATAACTTTGAATGCACAAGGTAACTTTTTGTTTACAGTTGGTGTACACACACAAAACGGTTTGTTTTCCACAAATGATACGCCCTCTGTGTGAAAGTCATGTAGATTAAATGAAAATTACATTTTGCATAGTTTTGTAACTGTAATACAACTGTCGTGTAACGTGAAACATTCAGAAACTCCATTTTGAGTTCAAAATCATTTCAATCGTACAAATTGATAAAACTTTTACTTGTAATAATTTAACAATGATAGTATTTCTACAACTGATATTTTACTGCGATGTGGGCATAATTCTGAAATTTCTTGAAATGAATGTTGTGAGGCACCAGAACTTCTGACACTGGATAGTGTCTTTTGATAACTGTATTTGTGTTCCGTGCGTCTTGTCTTTGCGTGGTGGCTCAGTCAAAAGGAATTCTAATTAATCATCCCACACTTCCTGAAGAGCTCTCATGTCCTGGATATTCTGGACGTCACGTTCAAGATGGATAATAGTTTGATCACCTCTGTCCTAGTAGAATGTAATTCTAAGAATTTATGAGTAAAAGCAAAGTATAAAATATTAATCGCACTACATCTGACGTATATATATATAATGACGACGAGGCCTTTCCCTCAATACCATGGCTCATCAGGCCGACTGAGACACGATAATCATAGTAATGGTCGAAAAACATATTGTATGGTCTGTCCTATGTGAGCTTTGTCTGGACCACTTCAAAAGGTCACATGAATACCATAAGTCACGAACTTATACTTTACTTATTTATATTTGTTCCTGAACCAAGCATTTTACCTACTTGAATAATTTAAGTTCAAACTGAAAATCAGGTCATATTATTTATGCAAAATACAAATGTAAATACAACAAGAGTTGTCTAACGAAATCCACGAAAAAATGTCCTAACTTGACTAACATGAAATACATTGGCTCGTGTAGTCAAAGAAGAATCTTATTCCAGTGACTGTAAGGTTTCAACCTGTACTGACACTCGGATTTATAAACTCGTTCAGACAAGTAAACTGTAAATAAACAGATACGTCTCTTCTACATACACATAATAAGCCAGAAATACGTCTTCCAGAACAACTGAAGTTCACTAACGTATCCAAAGAAAGTGCAGGAGAGACTTTCTGTGTCGTCAACATGTACATTCAACAATATGAACTTCACAACTACATACACATAATACATACACAACTACATACACATAATACATGCACAACTACATACACATAATACATGCACAACTACATACACATAATAAGCCAGAAATACGTCTTCCAGAACAACTGAAGTTCACTAACGTATCCAAAGAAAGTGCAGGAGAGACTTTCTGTGTCGTCAACATGTACATTCAACAATATGAACTTCACAACTAAGAAGAAAATACGCAAGCATTTCATCTAATGTTAAACATGGATATCCTTGGGAGCCTACGAGACATTTTTTCATCTATAAGACAGAAAAAAAAATAGTACAAGTATTCACCAAAAATACAAACATGTTGATTGTTCACGTTGGACAAGAAACTTTTCGTGTTGCCGGTCTGCAACGAGTCTAGAACACGATTTCCCAACTCACGACCAACTTTATACTACTGTAAATCATCTGTAGTCTAAGGTCAATAAAGATTTGTAAAAATTTCTTATCAATCTTTCTATGATGTACAACCAATCAACAGAGCACGCTTATATCACTTCTTGGCTATAATTTGATTAAAATGTAATAACTTTTGTACCCAAAACTTGGTTAAAATAAGCATAAACGAAATAGTAGCGAATAAATTTTGTCTTGAGAATTATTACGTACATCAAAATGCAGGCACGTTCATGGTTTATCAGAGCTACTTCGGAAAGCGAATACTTTACGATCTGATGCTTTGGTTAAAAGAAAACAGCTTCATCATGCGGGTCACATGAGAGTAGCTTTGAAAAGAAAATACTTAATATACGGCTGTGTTTCGATTATAAAGATGGGGTTACATCATGAGCACTAAAGGATAGCTTTCATGTAGAAATAATATACTGTACGACAATGTTTTGATTATTCGGACACGGTTATATCTGTGAAAAAACAAGCGTTTCTATAAATGACTTGGATGGTAGACACTGTTATTGTTATTTTTACAAAATCTTCGTACTTAGAAGTATTTCATGTTGTTTCTAATAATAAAATAAACAAACGTTCAATTCGGTTAATTTTCGAAATGAATCACCGAACATATATTGTGAGCTAACAAAAAAAACGGATCCAGATCTACGCCACGTGACCTCCAGGATAAAAACATGTCGTATGTTTATTTTTTAACACAAGTACGTGACTCATCGAGTAAAAAAATCGCTTTAAGAACGTGACATAAGATCGTAGAACATACTTGTTTAACAAGGGGCCGTTTTATCAGTTCTCTCTCTCTCGCACATGCATATTATCAAACCACATATTGGACCATTCAAATCATTTCTTTAAAAATCAAACATACACCTATTCATCTATATACAACTTTTCATATAATTAACCCAACAAACAAAATGCACGACGACAATAACACACAAATAATGTGGGAAAGGTAAAATATGCTTTAGTAAGAAATACGTTATGAACAGCCTTACATGGGAAATAAAATTACACTGAAATTTATTTTTTCTTTTGATACTATTCGCACACATAGGTATTTCATACTCATAATATCTCATATCTAAAAATTAGTGAAGCCAGCTGTTGGAAGATAAAATTTTGCTTCTAATAAAATAGAAAAAGTAATGGAATATAATTAACATAAGATTTTTAAAAAATGGCACTAGAATCTGACCATTGAGGTTAAATTAAACTTATCTCCTAAGGTATGCATTTCTACCCCATCACAGTTACATGACTATGTAAACATTATATTAAATCCTAAAATGTATATGCCAATAGTTACTACTATTTAAAAAAAAAACATGAAAAAAACCGAAAAACTACTTCAGAAGATAAGCTTTACACATTCCTATGAAAACGGTATAATAAATCCTAAAAAGTATATGCCAAAAAAACAAGAAAAAACCCCGAAAAACTACTTCAGAAGATAAGCTTTACACATTCCTATAATAAAGACAAATTGTGGAATATGTACAAAAGTAATAAGAGATACAGTCAATCCCTCAGCAAGGACGGTGAGTGGTAGGTTGCTGCTAATTGGCTGTCTTGACTTTTTTTCAAAAGTGCAAAATTAGTAGTGACAGCATGAGCCCTCAGTAGCTTTGCCATAAATACAAATGTACTAAACACTTTACTCTGGATCAGCATACAGTTTGAAGTTAAAGCCAGTGAGTATGGACTCCTCGGAGTTTGAAAGTACAGACAACATTAAAATAGTTTCTCAAGGCAGTATTTGCTTTCCCTGATCCCCCTGATTAACAGAATATTGTACACTTTCTACTTATGCATCGTTTACAAGCTTGGTGTTTAGGCATCGCTTTCCCTGTTCTTCTTCTTCTGCTAGTTTCAGTCGAAATCCCACACTTAATGCACGAACCCTATTGCTCCATTGGGCTGTCCCACTACGACAGAATGTCAGTGGTAAGACCCCAGATAAGGCTATAGTTAGAAGATTTGCCTATCAAATTGAGCCGCTACCTCCTTCATCATTAGGTATTTATCTCAGTGGAGGAGAAACTTGGTTCAATACTGCTGCATTCGCAGTTAATACAAATGATAGTTTTAAAGCTGGTCAAAATACATTGGCAGTAGCTTGAGATCAGGAACACACCTATAATAGAATCCAGCTGCCCATTCTTGCTGACAAAAAGTTCCAAATATTCAGCAGTGTAATATGTATGAGATTGGTAGTGGCTGCATTAACTATCAGAAGATGTATCATGAAGCATGGAGGCTAGCATTCAGACTAGATCACCATCAATACTGGTCTGCCTTAAGGATCATCACACTTCAACATCATGGATCTGGCCCGCCTTGACAGTGAACTAAATGTCTTGTACTAACATTTAGTGATGGCATTCTGATGCACACCAGAGGCTCTACCAAAGCTAAAATCGAAAGCAAGATTCAATCATCCTTCAGCATGGTCGGTGTACAAACAAGAATCGATCCTGTCAAAGCCACAAAACCATGTCCTGCACACTCAACAACAAATATACTTAAGAGCATAAATCTTTGCCTTTGGAGGCACTGCCATCCCTCTGGAAGAAATACCAAATACAAGTGCACTAAAAGCTGCAGCAGAAAAAAACGTCAACTCATTATGATCTACCAAAGTCTTATCCTGCTCCATCTTGGATTATGCACTACCGATAAATATTGTGAGTGATCTGCAACTAGATAAGATTTAAAAGGTACAAAACACCTGTTTAAGGTTGGTCACAGGCTGTGTTTCACTCCCCCCCCCCACCCCATCATGGCCCTATTACACTCCATAAGCCTCAGCAGCAACGAGCACAAAGGTTAAAAATATTACTCATGAACAGATTTGAAGTTACTAATATACTGATGAAATTAAAGATTTGGAATTTTCTGACTGAATAGCACCTTACGTGCACGTGGAATATATGGCCATGTCAGAGAGCCCTGAAATTCAAGTACAGCCGCCAGTAAATGTTTTAACTACTGGCTAAGAAAGCAACTAGCCAGAAGAATTGCTGTCACAAGGATTTTTTTTATCTCTTTGAACCGAACAATGGTATTGGTTGTCATTCTTTTTCACACGCCCAAAGCTGAAAGTACAAGAGTTTAGTGGGATCACATCTCCAGTTTTAGTCATTTCGATTCACAGCCCAACACGGTAATCATAGGCCACGCTCA